CAGGGTGTTTGCTGTCCTGCAAAACTTTCCTACTCATCTTATGGCAGGAAATACCGTTTTTTTACATTGCAACCTAGCAAAATTCTGATCCTCCTCAAAAACTCAATTGTTTCCTTCTTTAGACTACAACTCCACATGTGTCCATTTACGTGTAGTTGTGGGTTTATGTTGCAGTGACCCGTTTGCTTGTCAGTCTCCATCTCTAGACCATGAGTTCCTTGTTTGAAGGGACCAGGATTTTATTTCCCACCTTGAGACATGGTATAGCATAATATTGTAGTTTAATGCATGAAGCCAGCATTTTTGGGTTAAATCTCACATTTATAGGATGTATATCCTTGAGCAAGTCATTTAACTTTTCTGTACCTAAGTTCCCTTACCTTATGTAAAGTGGTCATCATAATAGTGGCAAATTTAAGTAACTAGCCCTTACTTCTTCTATCTTGTAATTAGAAGCCTTTTGATGATTGTCACTGAGTTACAGGGGATAAATTATATTTCTGTATAAATTTAAAAGGTAGCCTAATATATAAAAAGATCAATGTTTTCAGGTTAAACAAATGCAGGTAACTATGTTGGAAAAAAGAGAGACTTGAAGATTCTGGCAGGCAATGATGGACATATCTCCTGTCCTCTCTCCAAAATCTTGACATTATCGTGCCTTCTCTGATTCCAATATTCAAGGTCTCTTTACTTATTCTTAATTGTGAGAGAACCAGTCATCTCTGGCATCCCATGCTTAGGCTCTGCCAGAGAACTGATCACTCTTTTATGCCCCATTGTCTGTCTAGATGTCTGATACCACATAAATTTGACTTGGGCGGGGCTACGTCTTTTTCTGTACTCAGAACTCGGGAACGACTGATACACTCAGGCTAATCCTCCCAACAACTAAGACTCCTTCTGACCGCCTTCCCTCTTTATCAGTCACTCCTGGCCTCTCAGCGTTCCTCAGCATCACGCGGAAGCTGTAGAAATCACGCCTCTCCCAAGTGGGCTCCGCAGTTCCTTCAGCTATCACCCCTACAAGCCGGAATGCCTTAGCTCCGCCCACTTTAGCTTCTGATCCCGCCCCCTTCCTCCGCCCCGCCGCCTTTCACCTGGAGTCACAAGTACGCATGCTCCTTAGCTCGTAGCGTGATGTTGGCGTGGTGACGTAGTGACGGCGGCAGCTTGCGTTTTAGCTCAGAGTCAGGGCGTAGGTTTGGAAACCTCGCGGGGTCGTGGGGCGTCCGGGTCGCCAGCGGCGCGGGTTTCCTTTCGGCTTACCCCGCTTACTGTGTTGTCTCCGTTCCGCCCCTTCGGGGAGAGGGAAGAGGAGGAGAGGTTCTTTGGAGACAGAGTTGGAGCCTCTGAAGGAGAAGGGAGCACCCAGGGGGCTTTGGAGCGTTTGAGGACTAGGCTGCAGCCCGGAATTAGGGAGCATCTGAGAGGGGGGGGGGTCCCCGCAGGCAGGGTCCGAACCCACTGGGATCAGGGCTGGTCCGGAGGAGGGCCTGGGGCAGCCGCGCGATGTTCGCGGCCCGGTGCCTGTTCCGAGCCCTGCGCTCCTGTTCCTCCGCTCCCTCCCCGAGACTCAAGCCTTCGGCCAAACTGAGCGTGCGGGACGCTCTCGGGGCCCAGAGCACGAATGGGGAGCGCGTTAAGGTTCAGGTTGGTGTATGGGAAGGGGGCGGGTTGGTTCTGTTTAGTAACTTACATGGCACATCCACGTCTCAGCTTGCCTTGTGCTGTCAAGTGAGAAAGACTGGCAGGGAAAAGTTAGAAAATGTAGGCAATCGTGTGCGTGGACACTTGACTCCTTTCATTGACTACCATTATCTTTCGCAAAACTGTTGCGATGCCCGTAAAGCGCTGGGACTTTCCTTTCACGGTACCAGGGCCTTACCTGTAAACTTGTTAATCATACAGCAAAGTAAAAGAAAGAGCCCCATTTCCTTTAGCCCTCATCACGAATAGCCACAGTTATATGCTGGTGGTTTGGAGAGCAGAAACCATGTCTGACCTGTCTTGGTATTCACACATGACAAACAGTCAATGTTTGTTCAGCTAAACCATACCTTTCATTCAACTTGTAGCCACCTCAGTGCCTAAAATGGGGCTTTGCATATAATTTATGTTTAATAAATTAGGAGAAAGATTGGAGCGTAGCAGCTTGAAAGAACTCTGGAGTCAAGTTGCCTGGGATTAAATCTTTGCAGTTTAATTATGGGCGTGTCACTCATGTGCTCGCTTACAAAATGAAGGTAATAATTGTCCTTTAACTGAAGATTAAAGGACAACAGGTATAAGACATTTAGAAGAGTGAGTGGTCTACAATAAGTGAGTGTTAGCTGCGGTTATTGCTAATATTTGCAGCAGCTTTGCATAGAAGATTTCCTCTTAAGGAGCAGGCCAAGCAGGGTGCTTTGATTGTTAATTAGTTTGCTGACATACACTGATGCACTTATTTTTGTTGTCCTTACATATCCTTGGTTTTTAGCAATATGACCAATCTACTCCTCTGCATTTCTTTGGATTTCATATTCTTTTCACGATCCAAATCAAAGTTTTTTCTTGAATTCATCTATTAATTCGACATATATTAATGATACCTTCTGTGTGCTAGTCTAGAGAGAATTCACAGATGAGAAGAACAGAACCTACTCCTAGGCTGGAGGCTTTCATTTTAATGCTGTGCAGTCTAATACAGTAGCTATCTGCCACCTGTTGCACTGAGCACTTGAAATGTGGCTAGTCCCAATTGAGAGGTGCTGTACATAAAATACACACCAATTTTGAGGATCAAAAAGAAGGCAAAATACCTCATATTATTATGTTGATTACATGTTGATAATGTGGGCCTAATGGTTAAATAAAAATATTAAAATTAATTTCACCTGTTTCTTTTTAATGTGACCACTAAAAAATGTTAAATTATGTGGCTCACATTTTTGTTGGACAGCCATGGTCTAATGGCTAAGGCAATTAATTACAGCAAGATGATTAAGTATTAGTGGTATAAATAAAAAACTTTGAGAAAACAGAGAGGGAAGTTCCTAACTGGGTGAGGAGGTCAAGGAAGACTTCTTGTCTATAGGGTGTGGTGAGGACACAAAGAAAGTAAGGGTCAGTGCAGTCGTGCCACATGATGTTTGGGTCAATGACAGATGGCATAAAAGATGTGGTCCCATAAGAATATAATGGAGGGGCCGGCCGAGTGGCTTAGTTGGTTAAGAGTTGGCTTAAGAGCGTGAGCTCTGAGCAAGAGGACCACAGGTTCGATTCCTACATGGGCCAGTGACACTGCGCTGGAGCTGAGCTGTTGCTGAGCTGCCAACAGGTGGCAAGATGGCTCAGCTGGTGTAAGAACAAGATTGCCTGTTTGATGGTGGGCTATGCCCACCCTCAACTAAGACTGAACTCTGCACCTTGAGCTGAGCTGCCAACCGGATGGCTCAGTGGGTAGAGCATGCACTCTTAACAATAAGGCTGCCAGGTTCGACTCCTGCATGGGATGGTGGCTACGCCCATCTGCAACTAAGACTGAACACAGCACCTTGAGCTTAGCGGCCATGAGCTGCCTACAGGAAGCCAGAAGGCGACTGGTGCCCTCCACAATGAAGATTGAAGAACAACTTGGCTGGTCCTCTTCCCCAATTCCCCAACACTGTTCTCCTCCAATAATGGAACTGAAAAATTCTCATCACCTAGTAAATTGGGAGCTGTGATAATGTCATGTCATAGTGCAACACACATGTTTGTGGTGATGCTGGTGTAAACAAACCTGCGCTGCCAGTTGTATAAAAGTATAGCCCATATAATTATATACAATAATACTTAATAAGGATGATAAACGACTATGTTACTGGTTTATGTATTTACTATACTTTTATCATTGTTTTAGAGTCTACTGTTTCTACTTGTTAAAAAAAAAAAGTCTGCTGTAGAACTGTATGCCATGTTACACCAGCAGCAGCCTCATACATCCTGTGTTTACGCGTCTCTTGATTGCATCATTTTCTCTTGTGTTTGATTTATTCTGATGTTACTTTGTACAGTAACATGCTGTACAGGCTTGTAGCCTAGGAGCAATAGGCTGTAACAGCCTAGGTGTGTAGTAGGCTTGCGTAAGAGCACTCTATGATGTTCGAACAACAAGGCCATCGCCTAACAATGAATTTCTCAGACTATATCCTTGTTATTAAGTGGTGCATGACTATATACAATAGTTTTTCTGAGGATCATTTTTCTTTCCCCAAGTGTGTTTGGTGGTTAATCAAACACCATCAGTTATTTCACAATTGTTTAGTGTCTGCTAGAGAAATATTATCTTATGTGCTAATTAAATTTCAGTTAGATGTGATCTGTGAAAGAGCTGTTTTTTGTCACTAGCCTACTGAAGACAGACCATTTGTACTCACCTACCTGTCGTTTAAATTTTGAAAGTTTATGTACTACTTAATATATATTCATAATGTGAAGTTTCTTGAGAACTCTTTACATTGTAAAAGGGGGAAAAAAAGGTAAAGATATTTCTAGTCTATAACTATATCATCTCCCCCTGGGAATTGGATATAAAA